TGCTGAGGAAGACTGGCCCTGGGCTAACATCCATGCCCATCTTCCTCTACTTTATATGGGATGCTGCCACAGCATGGCTTGCCAAGCGGTGCGTCAGTGCACGCCTGGGATCCGAACCGGTGAACCCCCGGCCACCGCAGCGGAGCACGCACACTTAACTGCTTGCGCCACCAGGCCGGCCCACGTTGTTATATCTTTATAATACCAGATAAAATAGGTACTATTATTACTATTATCCTCATTTTACAGATGAGGAAATTGTGGCTCAGAAACGTTAGCTAATTTTCCTAAGGTCACAATTGGTAGCTGGCTACTCCAGGATTTGAGTCCAGGTATGTCTGACTAAAAGCTCATGCTTTAATTGCTACTTTATATGTCTTTCTAAAACATAGCAATGGTTCCAGGCTATGAAAGACAGAAATTTCTCTAGGAAAAAAATGTGTCCTTAATTTTTTTTCAATTTTTTAAATCAAAGATACACATGCACATAGTTTAAAAGTAAAATGGTTTCTGCAAAACTTATTACAAACACTACCAATGCCTTGCCCACTTCTATCTCCATTTACAATTCCCTGGCATCAAACACTTCCAACATGTTTGGCTTTTCCTTTCTCATTTTCATCTACTTCATATTTTTTCAGTTTTAGGCATTATCTAATGAATTCGCACCATGGAAGACTGTCCACTTCCAACATACACATATTGCTTCCTGCTCACCCACGTGCATCCTCCCAGTATTGTTCAATCATCCTTTCCATTAGATCCACATCCAGTATTTACATTATCTTCACTGTATGAAGGCTATTCACATGCAAGCTCTGTAGTACATCAGAATTATGTTTCTTTTCTTGTGCAACTATTTGCTTCCCTGGAGTTAATAATTATCTCATGTTTTGGTTTGCTTAGTTTTCTATGTACCCATCATTAATTTATCCTCCAATCATTTCTCCAATTATCTAAATCTCCTTCAAACACACCAAGAATTCTGTCCATTTCTTCTAGTAGACAGCTCTCTGAGGGCCTTCTGACCTGCTCCATTCTGGGCTGGGGCAGAGCTGTCATCCTGGAATTTTCTTTCACCAATAGCTTGGGGATTCCCTTTGAGTCTCTCTGGAATTAGATACCCCTTTTCATGGATCCATTGTTTTCCATTTCCTTGACCTGGAAACTTCCTGAGAAAGGGTGCATGGAAGGAAAATTTTGAGACCTTGAATGTCTAAATATGTCTTTATTCTACCCTCATATCTGTTTGATGGTTTCACTGGTAGAGAATTCTGGCTTGGATGTATTTTTCTCCTCAGAATTTTGAAGCATTATACCATTGTCCTATAATGTTAAACTCATTCCTGATCCTTTTTATAAGTACATGCTCTGTTTTTCTCCATCTCTAGAAGCTTTTAGGATCTTCTGTTAGTCCCCAGTATTCTGAAATTTTACCAGTATGTGCCTTGTGTAGGTTTAATTTCTTCTACGGTCTTAAGTACTCTATGGGCTCTCCATCTGGAAAACTCATGTCCTTCAATTGTTTGAAAATTTCTAAATCGCTTCTATGATGATTTCCTCTGGGAGAGAATGTTTCTCAGAACAGTGGGCTGGAGTCTCTTAGCTCCCATAGGGCAAAAAAAATTCCTTTTGTTTAAATTCATCTTTACATAGCCAGCACTTTAGCAGCAGCACTGTGCATCAACAACTGTTAGAAAACTGAATACAATTGAGGTAAGCTTCTTGCAAATTTTAAGTCTTAGGATTTAAATTTAAGACCATACTTCTCATATTCCTCAGCAAAGGTACAACATGATCGGAGTATTGAGTGACTGGCTCTGCTGGTGACCCCTTGTTCCATCTGAGGGTTCAGTCAAGTGAAATTTCAGAATGACTACCTGTTCATATGAGTGCTCTGAAACGTCCCATAGCTTTCCCTTGAAGTGTTCCTCAGCTAACTCATTGTTCTCTTTCTCTTCCCACAACTATGCTGGATTTTCCCTGGTGGGGGGTGGAGGAGAGTGGTGCTCAAGGAAGGAGATGGGACATGAGTCCACCAGTTTCCTGTTGAGTTGATGGAAGCTTTTCCTGCCTGACCTGCCCCTAGACAGAACTGCCTGCTAAGGCATCTATTGATGGCTGGGAGAGACTGGAGCTGAGGGCAGGGCCGGAAAAGATGTGCAAACCTGTCGGGAAAATCCAAAGGAATGAAGATTAAGTGCAGGAATTGCTGAATTTAAATGGAAATCCTTTTGAGGGGTAGTTTATCTTTTAACTCAAGATTTAAGTTTGAAAGATTTACAGTTATAGAGAAGGGGAATATTCAAATGTCTTCTTTAAAAAATGAACGGAAATATTATTCTCACCCCTAAAACTCTGCACTTAATTTTAGAGTTAGTAGTAAGTAAGACATCTGGATGGAACTGAACAGAAGTGTTTCTGAAGAATTTTGGGAGCTGGACACACTTTTATGCAAATGAACAGCAGGCCCTGTTTTGAAACTATTCTCAAATATCTAAAGAGACAGCCAAGGACTTGTTTCCCATTCTCTTCTCCCCGGATTACCTTCACCAACTACAAACTGTTTTTTTTAATAGACTTTATTTTCTTAGAACAGTTTTAGGTTCACAACAAAATTGGAAGATATTGAAATTTCCACTGTACCCACTGCCCCCACACATGCATAGCCTCTTTCATTAGTAACATCTCCCATCATGTTACCGCACCAGGTCTGTTTTTGCCTGCCGCTCAGAAAGCCAATCACAACGAGAGACGAGATTGCAGAGAGAGAGGGTTTAATCACAAGGCAGCCAAGTGAGGAAAATGGGAGAACAAGTCTCAAATCCACCTCCCCAAAAACAGGGACCCAGGGGTATTTATGGGAAAGGGGGCAAAGTGGTCTGAAATGATTGGACGTGAGGAAGATGAGGTAATTGATGATCTGCACAAGCATAGTCAGGCTTCATGTTTCTTCATAGGACACATCTTCACAGAATGGCAGCATCAGCATGCCCTGAGGGTGGAGTTCCAACCTCTTGCCGTCAAAAGGGCCCAGTTGATGGGTTGGTGGTCTCAATCTGGCCTGAAGTGGACAAGGGGTTCAGCTCCTGAAAAAAAATAGCTCAAACACCCATTACCATGGTAACCCAGGCTCCAGGGAGATGTCATCTATAGGAACCTAGTGGGAGTCAGAGAGCATACTGCCCAAACAGCACAGTTAACAATGAGGGTGTTTATTCTGCAGATTTAAGTCCTCGCCTTCCATTCTGATAAGTGTGTAGGTAAGGCCATCCCCTCTTCTTCCTGGTGCAGGGAAGAAGGTACCTTTACAAATGGAGATTTTCTTTACAAATGTAAATGTCTCTCATAAAGGTTAACTAGAACTAAGAATGGGTTTAGCATGACCCACCCACGTACCAGGAGATATCTATAGTAACTATCTAGAGATAGTATATCCACAGATAGATACTATCCATAGATAGATAGTATAGGTACTATCTATGTAGTATATATAGTAACTATCTATAGCAGGCCTCCCATCCCAAACTCCTTTGGTCAGTTAGTGGGGGTGGGGGTCAAAATGTCATTCAGGCAGAGACATGTTTTGAGTTCACGAATTCCAATCCCGCATAGTTACTAGCTGTTTAATCATCAACGGCTGTTTGCCAGTTTCAATCCCCCCTATTCTTTGGTCATTCCTCATTCTTGAGGGATTTGGGGAGATGACCAATGTCGCTACTTCCTGCTGAATCAGGGCGTACATTCGGGTTAGAGGAATGAAACTGTTTAGCACTCATCTGGAGATATTCTCTTGTTCCTGGGTTGACATTTTGTGTTATAAGAATTTTGTACCTTGCTCAACAGTTTCAGAGCAACATCTAAATGCACATTTTATAATCAAGTATCTGACCTGATAGATAAGACGTGTAGACACCCAAATGTTAACAGTCCCTGACAAATAGACCTAATCCCTTGGGGGAGTCCAAGAAAACAGTCCTGAAAGCCAGTCTGGACCGGGTACCTCTCAGATTATCTGCTGATAAGGGGCATAGGTCATTTCATCTCATTGAACCAGTCTCTTAGTAAGGTGGTGATGCAGGTGGGCTGCTCCCAAATTTAGGCCTATATTGTGTAAGCAAGTAAACAGGTATTTAATAAGAAGCATTTCTATGGAAACAAAAGAAAAACAAAGTTAATGATTGGAGCAAATTATAAACCAGTTTCTGAGTTCAGAGGACAGCCGGTCAAGAAGATTTCTAGATGTCAGGATCAAAGCATCTTTTGCAGTTTGAATTGTCTTTGATGATGTCATTGGGTATTCAGGTATCTTTCTGAGTGGCTCGCAGAGCAACAAACATGAATCTCTAAGCTTATATCAAGTTGTCCCGCTTTAGTTTGCAAGGCTTCAGGAAAAAGGGCAGGTTCAGTTCTCAGTGATTTAAAAGGAAAATGATGGAAAAAAATCCAAAATGTTAGTTCAGAGATTTGTAGCCAGATATTTTAGGAGACTAGAAGAATTCAGGATCCAGTCCAGTTAACAGATATAAAACAGAAACCTTAAATACAGATATCAGAACCAGAACCTAATATTCCCATGAATGTGTACTATAGTTTCTATTGAAACATATATTTTTCTTCCTAAAATCACCCTCATTCTTTGTAAAGGATAGCCAAATTAAAACTGCTTTGCAAAATAAGTTTAGTTTCAATAAACTTGGCCCAATTATTTACATAAGTACAGCAAGAATAGCCATTTGATCATATAAGCTCTTTTAAATCTGCTTTGCTGGAACTTTTTATAAGGAATCTCAGTTTGAACTTTAAAAGCCTCTCAAGACCAGGGAAGTCAAGCCAAGGACTTGTCATCAGACTTCACCTGCAATACCTACAGACTTGGGTGAATTCCTCTCTTTTTGAGGTTCCCCAAAATATTTCAAGGTTCCAGGCACCTGCCAGATAAGTGACCTTCCTTACTTATCCGTAAGGTTGCTGTGAACACTGTATGAGGTTGCAAGCAAGGTACCAGGCCAATATTTCCAAGTGGCTTTATTCTATAAAGTCCAATCTTTGTCTCTCAAAAGCTGTCTTGTCATATCTGAGTCTGTATGTTTTTTTTTTTTCAAATATAACATTCCAGTCAAAGCTTTGGTAATATAACCAATGTTTCCTATTGTGTCCTATTATAAGAAGAACAGATTCTTATTAAACTTATGGAAATAACTATATTGCCATGAAAACAACAATACTCACTCACTAAGAGTTTCCAAATCCTGGAGGGATCAGATAGGGAGAAAAAGATAAATGTTTCAATACTGCTTACAAAAGTGTAATTTACCAAATTGCTATAAGTCATAGTTAGCTCAGGAGAAAAGAGAAGTTTTACTTAAATCTGAAAAAAACAAAACATTTAAAAAAATCAGCAAAATTTCAAACAAAAGTCTCCCATAAAAATTATAATCATCATCATCGGTTCATTCAGTACAGTGTAATCGATTCTTAATCTTATTCTTGTTAGCAGTTTCACAAAGTCATCAGTTTCTCTGTTAGAGTTCTATAATTTCTTACCCAGTTCAGTTTTATGATCTGAAAGTTTCAGAAACCTAGAGTAAGTGCCCGAGTCCTTTCCATGAATTTCTCTGAAGAAGAAACATATTTTGCAAAAGCATCAGACAATAACTGTCTGTAAACAAGACCCCAAAATGGCAATTGACAAAGAAATTTGGTTAATATCGTGATATACGATACTTTCGTATAATAACCAGAACCAGACTGATAACCAGGACAGATCAGAACTTCAGTAATGTTATACAATTTCAAAACATTTATATCAATAACATTCACCCACATAATATGACCTAAGAATGTTTATCATCACTTATTTGACAATGTTTCCCATGTAATTTAACATACCAAATAAGCCTAATAAGTTTATCTTCCTCCTTATAGGAAGAGAGCAAACTTCTTTGAGAAGTCCCAGGGCCCTTTGAAAATTTTCAAAGAGAAAAAGTAAAAAAAAAACTTTAAGATATGAAGTTTGGGGAGCCTGTCAAAAATATAAACAGTCAAGTTGATGCAAACAGAGTACTAACAGTCCAAAAACCTTAAATAGAGAGACTTCAGTCTTTTGGACATGGGAAATTATTTTAACAGTTTTTTTGTCTTTCAGGTAGACTTACCCAAAGGTAAAGAAAACCCTTCTATAACCTCTTTATCAAGTTCAAGAAAATTATCCTTTTAAGAGAAAGAAGACCAAATTTTAATTTTGTACCAGCTTACTTCTGATATTAAAACCTATTCACTTAACTAAATTCATTCCAATCTTAGCCAACTTGACCATGCATAAAACTCTCTCCTCAGGGTTTCTCTTCTACAAACCTTCTGTAACTTTCCTTGTATACAGAGCTGTTTTTCTTATTAATTTTTAGTAGCTTTAATTACATATATTAATTAGAATTTTTTTAACCCTTACAGACCTTAGTAAAAACTAAAAAGCAATTATGAACTGTCTTTTATATCAGCATTCTAAACACTTTTCATAATTTTATGCTATGTCATAGTAATAAAACAAGGCATGTTCACTAATTAGACCCAAATACTTTTTGGTTTCTCTGTAGTAAGAAGCCAAAAGGAGATAAACTTAGATATGTTTAGTAATAATGTTTCGGTATTTTATCTTATTCAAAAATGACCCACGGGCCGGCCCCGTGGCTTGGTGGTTAAGTGAGCGCGCTCCACTGCTGGCGACCCGGGTTCGGATCCCGGGCGCGCACCGACGTGCTGCTTCTCCGGCCATGCTGAGGCCGCGTCCCACATACAGCAACTAGAAGGATGTGCAGCTATGACACACAACTATCTACTGGGGCTTTGGGGGGAAAAAATAAATAAATAAAATCTTTAAAAAAAAAAAAATGACCCAGACACTCAATAAATCTTTATCATGTAACTTAATTTAGCAAAAACCCTAAAGCTCCAAGTCACCAAAAAGAATTTGGAAGCTGTTCTTTTAAGTATACAGATCACAAAACATAATTATTGTCCTCCAAAACTCTCACTTATCTTCATATATCTAAATCATTTGTTTCCAACAATTGTCAATCAAACCAACAAACTTAAATTAGCTTTCATTTACCAAAGATTAATTTATATCATGTTAACTTGAAAGACGTTTTGGTTAATTTCTATTACATTTAGAATTTATGTAAGCTCTTACTTTAAGCCAATTAAATAGAGCCCTTAATTTTGACCGTACCATCCAGAGGTAAAATATCACACATATGTAACATATACATAGACACACATACACAGAGTTTCCATACCCATTGTTTTAAAATTACTGCCATGAATCAGGTACCGTGATATCAAGCTCCCTAATTACAAATCCAGATTTTTTTAAGCCTTTTTTACTAATATTTGTGGAGAAGACACTCAAGATGCTAGATTTTCGCCAAGGGCGCTCTTATGGCTGTTTTTAGCCTTTTTACCTTTTTTTTTCAGTCTTCGGAATTGATAATGAGCTAGATAACGCTTCCCAGAGAGGCGAGGCCATAATCCTTTCTGAGATAAAGGAAGTGGGTGGAATTTGAACTGCCTCTACAGCTGCATTTCCAGTCTTACAGGATTTTTTGAGGACAATTGCTCTTAATTTCTCAGAAATTGGGTTGTAACTCAAATGACATTATAGGTTGATCTACCTGTCCAACTACATCACAAAGGCACAGAGAAACCACTCAAGTTTTCCACCAGATGGAGTTTCTGGGGTATAACCCATCCAATAGAAAGTGCTTCCAATTAGTTAAAATGCACCTGAAGGGTGAGTCTCCAGAGATGCTTGGGGAGTTCCTCATGGCGTAAAGCAGGTGTCCCACTGACAGCGGACCAGAGAAGGGTGCAGAGCCCAACTGTGGATGTCAATATAGCTATAAGATTTAGTCAAGTCCCACTCAGAGGGGTACTTAGTCCCTGAGCCAGCACAAGGCAAGCCAGGGAGGCCAGAGGCAAAAGCCTAGAGCGGGCTTGGGGCCGGGGCTCCCAACGCCGGGGTTGAGTGTTAGGTCCTTGGCAAAATGTTTTCAAATTTTCAATTTTTACAGAAGGTCCAGTTTCTGCTCAGGTCCAGGCTGAACTTAACCTTGACTTAGTGACAACAGAGGAGGTGACAAAGAAGGGAAAGAGGTAATCAGGCCTTGCCCTCACCGCATCTTCCCAATGATTATCAAGATAAGGGTCACACAGACAACAGTTCCCGGGCAGGACAGTTTACAGAATAAATTACAGATCTTCTGTCCCCATAACTAACTCAGTAGGCACCTAAAATACTCAACAGGTTCTTTTTGTTTTGTTTTGTTTTAAACTATCTTCTTTTTTTTTTTCCTCCTTTGGAGGAAGATCAGCCCTGTGCTAACATCTGCCGATCCTCCTCTTTTTTTGCTGAGGAAGACTGGCCCTGGGCTAACATCCGTGCCCATCTTCCTCTACTTTATATGGGACACCGCCACAGCATGGCTTGCCGAGCAGTACGTCGGTGTGCGCCTGGGATCCGAACCGGCGCACCCCGGGCCCGCTGCAGCGGAGCACGGGCACATACCGCTTGTACCACTGGGCCGGCCCCTCAACGGGTTCTTGACAGGAGACAAAACAGCGTTCTAGATTGTCAATCAAATGACTGGTCCAGGGGCCAACATGGAATCGCTCCAGGTGCCCAAAACCCCGAGGAGAGCTCCCAGAGGTGCAGCAGGGACTCGCTGAAACCAGAACCCAGAGGAGAGCTCCCAGAGGTGGGGGTGGGTCATGGAGCTTTCATTAGCGTCTGTAAGACCACGAGAGGAGGCTGAGACTCCAAATTTGATTAAGTTCTTAAGACTAGTCATTGCAAGAGCTCTCTGGCTGTGGCCATGTGGAGTTACAAAAAGAAAAAGATGCCCTTTTTTCCTTTTCCATGGACTCATAACTGAAAGTTGTCCAGTTTTGAAGACTGCAGCCTAGCGGGCTGCATGTGGAAATCGAATTTGCATTTCCCATTGTTTCAGAATTTAGACGCTGCCGGTCAAAGTATACTTATGCTGCAGCTAGACAGAACCAGATCTCGAGAATTTTGAGCGTCCCCAAAACCAAGACCTTCACAATGAAGGCCAAACCAAAGCTCCCTTTTCGGAAGACACGGAGGGCGTCCCCTCCCAAACCAAGTCAAGATTGGGCGTCCCCAAAACCAAGAAGACCAAACCAAACTCCCTTTCTGAAGTCACGGAGGGCG